TTGCACCTCGTTCAGTGATATATTATTCATAAAACACTGGAAAGTAACGACAAAAGTAACGTCGTTACTTTCATCGTTACTTCAGAAAAAAGTAATAGAACTACAGTTACAAGTTACATTTTTAAAAAGTAACTCGTTACAGTTACAAGTTACCAAAAAAGTAACGAAGTTACAGTAACGCGTTACTAGTAACGCGTTACTACCCAAGACTGTTAAAATGCAAAGGTGCAAGCGAGCTGGACAAGAATGACGAAATGAATCCCTGGAGAAGGGGAACAAGAGGGACAAAGGACAAACATGAATCTCCAAACACAGCTAGGTAACTGGTGAGCTATCGAAAAAATCCGCCTGGCCCGGGTATCGAACCCGGGACCTCTCCATTACAAGTGGAGCGCTCTACCAACTGAGCTAACCAGGGGTTAGACGTCAGTAGAGCAAACGGGTTTTATCAGCTGCCACCAGTCTAACACCAACAAGGGTGAAGCTTGCAAATTTAAGGTTAGAATTATAATGCAATTAAAATGCAAAGGTGCAAGCGAGCTGGACAAGAATGACGAAATGAATCCCTGGAGAAGGGGAACAAGAGGGACAAAGGACAAACATAAATCTCCAAACACAGCTAGGTAACTGGTGAGCTACCGAAAAAATCCGCCTGGCCCGGGTATCGAACCCGGGACCTCTCCATTACAAGTGGAGCGCTCTACCAACTGAGCTAACCAGGGGTTAGACGTCAGTAGAGCAAACGGGTTTTATCAGCTGCCACCAGTCTAACACCAACAAGGGTGAAGCTTGCAAATTTAAGGTTAGAATTATAATGCAATTAAAATGCAAAGGTGCAAGCGAGCTGGACAAGAATGGCGAAATGAATCCCTGGAGAAGGGGAACAAGAGGGACAAAGGACAAACATAAATCTCCAAACACAGCTAGGTAACTGGTGAGCTACCGAAAAAATCCGCCTAGCCCGGGTATCGAACCCGGGACCTCTCCATTACAACTGGAGCGCTCTACCAACTGAGCTAACCAGGGGTTAGACGTCAGTAGAGCAAACGGGTTTTATCAGCTGCCACCAGTCTAACACCAACAAGGGTGAAGCTTGCAAATTTAAGGTTAGAATTATAATGCAATTAAAATGCAAAGGTGCAAGCGAGCTGGACAAGAATGACGAAATGAATCCCTGGAGAAGGGGAACAAGAGGGACAAAGGACAAACATAAATCTCCAAACACAGCTAGGTAACTGGTGAGCTACCGAAAAAATCCGCCTGGCCCGGGTATCGAACCCGGGACCTCTCCATTACAAGCTTGTAATGGAGAGGTCCCGGGTTCGATACCCGGGCCAGGCGGATTTTTTCGGTAGCTCACCAGTTACCTAGCTGTGTTTGGAGATTTATGTTTGTCCTTTGTCCCTCTTGTTCCCCTTCTCCAGGGATTCATTTCGTCATTCTTGTCCAGCTCGCTTGCACCTTTGCATTTTAATTGCATTATAATTCTAACCTTAAATTTGCAAGCTTCACCCTTGTTGGTGTTAGACTGGTGGCAGCTGATAAAACCCGTTTGCTCTACTGACGTCTAACCCCTGGTTAGCTCAGTTGGTAGAGCGCTCCACTTGTAATGGAGAGGTCCCGGGTTCGATACCCGGGCCAGGCGGATTTTTTCGGTAGCTCACCAGTTACCTAGCTGTGTTTGGAGATTTATGTTTGTCCTTTGTCCCTCTTGTTCCCCTTCTCTAGGGATTCATTTCGTCATTCTTGTCCAGCTCGCTTGCACCTTTGCATTTTAATTGCATTATAATTCTAACCTTAAATTTGCAAGCTTCACCCTTGTTGGTGTTAGACTGGTGGCAGCTGATAAAACCCGTTTGCTCTACTGACGTCTAACCCCTGGTTAGCTCAGTTGGTAGAGCGCTCCACTTGTAATGGAGAGGTCCCGGGTTCGATACCCGGGCCAGGCGGATTTTTTCGGTAGCTCACCAGTTACCTAGCTGTGTTTGGAGATTTATGTTTGTCCTTTGTCCCTCTTGTTCCCCTTCTCCAGGGATTCATTTCGTCATTCTTGTCCAGCTCGCTTGCACCTTTGCATTTTAATTGCATTATAATTCTAACCTTAAATTTGCAAGCTTCACCCTTGTTGGTGTTAGACTGGTGGCAGCTGATAAAACCCGTTTGCTCTACTGACGTCTAACCCCTGGTTAGCTCAGTTGGTAGAGCGCTCCACTTGTAATGGAGAGGTCTCGGGTTCGATACCCGGGCCAGGCGGATTTTTTCGGTAGCTCACCAGTTACCTAGCTGTGTTTGGAGATTTATGTTTGTCCTTTGTCCCTCTTGTTCCCCTTCTCCAGGGATTCATTTCGTCATTCTTGTCCAGCTCGCTTGCACCTTTGCATTTTAATTGCATTATAATTCTTTCCAAATGGGACACAATATCAAGCTGTGCTGGGTACCAAGCCATGTGGGAATTTCAGGTAATGAGAAGGCGGATAGGCTAGCAGCCTCTGTTAAGGATGCTCTGGAAACACCCGTTCAGCTGCCTCTAGAAGATTTTAAACCAGTTCTTAAAAAAACAATTTATTATGCTTGGCAGCGCCCTGGGACAAAGAAATAAATAATAAGCTAGATGTCATCAAACCACGTTTACAGGTATGGGGGAGTTCGCATCATAAAGACCGTCACCAGGAAGTTTTAATGTGTCGTTTGAGAATTGGATATTCACGTGTCACCCATCGACACCTTCTTTGTGGTGAGGACACCCCAGTCTGTAAGCATTGCGGTGAATTGCTAACAATGCTGCATAATCTATGGCACTGCAAATTCTTTGATCAAGGACGTCGAACAAGTTTGCCTTCACTTTCTGGATATCTTCCATTTCATCCAGCCTTTTTACTGGGAGATGAACCTTCAGTTCCTTTCGGTCATATTTTAGATTTTCTTAAAAAAAACTGGCTACCTGCACCAGTTATAGATCCTCTGCATAGTAATTCCTTCCTTTCACAATAGAGTCTTTTAATTATTCCTTTGGCGCAGCATGGCCTATGTTGCTTTTTGCGCCATTAAACACCTAATAATCAAGCAAGCATTTTCAAGCATCGGTCTTACCAAGCAGCAGTAAGCAGTTTCTTTTAGCTTTTGGGAGCACTTCGTAGATTTCTGCTAATACAATTTAACATTCTACCAGACTTTTTTACAGATTGTGTTACGTAGCAATAAAAGAAAGATCGCTTGATGAAGTTACTCCAAGATATCCAAGTTTTATGTACATGTTGGTAATTATTAGAATAACACGATAAGATGCTGTTGTGTTTTTTTTCCTCGAAAGTGACGTGGACACTTTTGTCAGCATTGAGACTTAATTCCCACGTCCGACACCAAGTGGATATTTTATCTAAATCAGATTGTAAGAGAGCAAACACTCGTAAATGTTACACTCTGCGATATAAAACACATTCATCTGCGAACAGCCTCACAGGTGAATCAATCCCTGCAGCTATGTCATTTATAAAAACGAGGAATAAAAGAGGCCCCGAGACTGACTCCCGAGACTGACTTACAAAATTCAGATTTTGCACCGTTCATGACTACACATTGCTTTCTCTCAAAACGATAATTTTCTATCCATCGGTAGACGCTGTTATCAAGGCCCAAAGAGCGCAGCCTATCCAACAACAAAGGGTGGGCCACAGAATCAAAAGCCTTCCGGAATTCAAGGAAAATAGCATGCGTTTCGCTTCCACTGTCAGCTGCTGTAACAAGATCATGGTAAAGTTCAACAAGCTGAGTCACGCACGAAAGGCCATTTCGAAAACCATTCTGAGCTGGGGAAAAGAAAAAGTTAGTATCTAGATGTGTTACAACATTACACGATGTGTTCTAAAACCTTGCAACACACACAACTAAGGGAAATGAGGCGACAGTTTTCTACACTTTTTCTTGATTCATGCTTGTAGATTGGCGTAACAAATGTCATTTTCCATTCGCTTGTAAGTACACCTTCCTCTAGAGACTTCGAAAAAACTATGTGAATGTAGGGGGACACGGCGAAAAAGCACGATTTTAGCACTTTTGGTGGCAAGCCGTCTGGGCCTATTGATTTTGTTTGAAATCCGGGTCCTCCAAACGTTTTCTCATGCCTTGTATATTTATGACAGCAGGGGGCATAGGAGGCTCTATTCCATCACTGATGGGGGATTACACGAACGCATTATATTAGAGGCGAAAAGAGACTGAAAATATTTATTCAAAGAATTGGCTTTATTATGACTGTCTTCAATAACCTCACCATCACACAAAATATCCGGGATGAAAACATCCCGAATGGAAAAAAACTTACGAGTTTTTCGAAGGTAGGCCAACAATTTGCTATTTGACGGCATTTCATCTGAAATGTTGCCAAAATATTCCCGTTTCGCCAAGCTAATAACATCGCTATAAGCATCATTCTGCTTCTCAAGTTTTGAAGCAGCCAATTCAGATGAATGCATTTTGTACTTCTGACACGCACGCCTTCGTTGATTTATCGCTCTTTTAACAACAAATGTCATGCAAGGCCTATCAGCGTTAGTATTTTCAAATATATATATCTGGATGGAACATATTTTTTCTATTCCTGACAATAATTTCTTAAAAGCAACCCATAAAGTATCCACACAGCTCTCCAATATTCTAGGAAAATAATTCAATTTATTTTCCAACACAGTGTTGGGGTTCCCCGGGCGAAAAAGCTGTCGTTGACAGCTTGAGAGTGCTTGGGTGCACATACAGACAGTAACGTTTTGTGAAAAAGTACAACAAATATGACGCGTAACAATATGAATACACATAAACACCGTGTGAATGTATACAATTCTAAATGGCACATCTCAAACGCTATAAACAGATTATCAACAGTTAATGGAATTATAAATTACACTGATCAAATTTTCCCAGATGGCTTGTTTTCTTTAGCAAAAATTACAATAAAAGCTTGAACACAAAACCTTTTCAAATATAAGATAGAAACTAATGTATTATCATTTATTATTTACAAAAAAATCTCGCACTTTTTTACTAGTAAATGCATCAAAGTTAGTATTTTGTTCTAGATACTTGTTTAGAGGAGCTGTGCAACGATTTTAACGTTGAAAGAATTGTCATTTTCTGCTTTTGATATTGTTCACTGTGTCACAAATGGCAGAAAACACACATAGTTTCATCGAAATGTTGCGATCCCGCCGCGTAATAGCGAGGCAAAACTTAGAATATTCTCCGACCTGCAGCTGCGAGCGGCGGCCATGAGATACACGCGGCGTGACGTCTATGGGGAATCTTGTAGAAATATAGCAAGTTGTGCGAAGACCTGCTCGATAAAAGGTAACTTTTCTATAAATCTTGTCGTTCCAACATAAATATAGATACGTCAGAAACCTGGTATCATCGAAAAAACTTCTATTATACGGAGTTTTGGAGGCGCCGTCTATCCTAGGTCCACAAAACCGTCAGCTCTCTCTGCTACCGCAAACAGCCACCAGAAGAAAAGGGGGGAGGGGGACAGGGCCGGACGGGTATGGCCGGACCCGGATGAGACTTTCGTCCTTTCACCATATTGATCGCGTGGCGCCCGCCAGCACTGCAGGTGGTCACGCGGTCTCGTGACCACCGGATGAGTTCTCGCTGCTCACTGATGGCTCTATAGGAGAGAACTTTTCCGGAACCCCGCGCCTACCCCATTAACGCCACTGCGCACGTGACCCGGAAGACGACGTACGAGTTGCGACGCGGCATAAACCTGGTTCTTTTTCTTTTAGAGCGCAGCTCTTAGGGGCCCGTTCCCGGCTTGAGCGGCGTCGGCGTCGCCGTCGCCGTTGGCGTCGCCGTCGGCGTAACCAAGGTCATCCCAAGGTCACGTGACCCCTCCCAAGGTCATCTCAAGGTCACGTGACCCCCTGAAGGTCACGTGACCCCAAGGTCACGTGACCTTGGGGGTCACGTGGGGTCATTTTGGGATCACGTGACCCCCAATGTCACGTGACCCCTCCCAAGGTCATCTCAAGGTCACGTGACCCCAAGATGACCCCACGTGACCCTTTGAAGGTCACGTGACCCCCAAGGTCACGTGACCCCCAAGTCACGCGACCCCTCTGAGGTCACGTGACCCTTCTGAGGTCACGTGACCCCCGAGGTCACGTGGTCTCCTCCCCAAGGTCACGTGATTCCCGAGGTCACGTGACCCCCAAGGTCACGTGACCCCTCCCAAGGTCATCTCAAGGTCACGTGACCTCAAGGTGACCCCCACGTGACCCCCCAGGTCACGTGACCCCTCTGAGGTCACGTGACCCCCTGAGGTCACGTGGGGGTCACCTTGGGGGTCACGTGACCTTGAGGTGACCCCCGTGTGACACCCAAGGTCACGTGACCCCCAGGTCTCGCCTCCCCGAGGTCACGTGACCCCCTCCCCGAAGTCACGTGACACCCCCCCCCCCCCGAGGTCACGTGAGCCCCCCCCCGGAGCATATTAAAGAATGAGGGGAGGAGGAGGAGAAGGAGGAGGGGTCTACCCTCCCCTCAGTACCCTTCACTCCTCCTCCTCAAGAGCTGCGCTCCAATTCGGCGTTACAGGGATTTGTAAACGGCTTTTTGTTTTTTAATATAAAAACTAGGGTATCCAGGCAAAATCTGTTCTCTGTAGTTCACTTCAGAAGTGTCAGGCATCAGCTTCTACAATAATTTAAGCAAAGCCCTGAAATTGTTGCACAGCTCCTTTAAAATAAAAGGTAAGTTATATGTCAGCGACTGCGAGAAGTATTCAGTGCGCCGGCGCGGCACTAACCACCGGTCACAGCTGCGGGTGCGAGGGTCACTTATTTGTTTCGATAGGTCAGATGTCCTTTTTAAAAATGATCTGAAACTTTCATTTGACCAGAATAAAGAATGCAATAAACGAAATTCATAAATATGTTTTACGCTTATTATATCATAATGTGTATACAATTCTGCGGTTGATTGTAAGCGTGGCACATTAGCAATGTATCGAATCACTTTCTTTTGAAGAACAAGGATGCTGTGTATGTTTCCTGCTGCGGCCGTGCTCCATACGAGCGTGTAGTAATTTATGTGTGAAGTGAATAGGGCATGATAAATTTGAAGTTTTGCATTATATGGAAAGATGTGTTGACATCGTGACAAGGTTCCCGTCGCCGATGATAAGGAGTTAGCTAAAGCTTCAACGTGATCTTTCCATGTCATATTTACAGAAAATGTAACTCCAAGGGTCTTGTGTCTGTTAGCTATTTCAATGAAAGTGTCAATGAGTAATAAATCGTGCATTATTTGTGTCTGCTTATGTGTAGTTTTGAATAAAATAACCTTAGATTTATTTATATTCATTTTTAGACCGTTCTCACTGGACCAGTGCCACAGTTTTGAAAGTTCCCTTTCAGCTTTTAGTATTATTTCATTTGTATCCCATCCGCAAATACACGGGGTCATGTCATCCGCATAGATCACATAGACTGCGTTACTATCTTGCTGAACAACATCATTAATATGCACATTGAAAAGGAACGGTCCTAAAACACTTCCTTTTGGAACACCTGCAGTACTTTATTTGGAAGATGGAATGTTATTATTTATTGCTACACACTGCTTCCGGTCGTAAGAATAAGACTGAAACAACGATTGGGCAACCCCGCGAACACCGAATGCGTGCAACGTCTTTAGCAATATCTCGTGGTTTATGTAATCAAATGCCTTACTGTAGTCAATAAATACTTCGACGGTAAGCAGATTTCCTTCAATAGTCTTAATGATAAGTTCCTTCATTGTTAAAAGTGCAATTTCTATTGATTATCCCCGTCGAAAGCCATGTTAACTGTCTAAAAGTATGTCATGTTTTAAAAAAAAGGTGTTGACGCGTGGAAAAATTGTTCTTTAAAGTTCTTTAGAGAACACCAGAAGAAGGGATACTCGCCTGTAATTGTTAGTTATTTTTTCTCCTCCTTAAATGATGACCGAAACTTTTGCCTTTTCCATTCCACTTGGAAAGCAACCAGACTCTAGAACTAGATTAAATATGTAGTTTAGACTGGGAGCGATAGCACCAATTACGTATTTTACAGGCTTTATCTGACCGCCCTCTATGTCTGTTGAGTGGGTATTTTTTAACCTCATAAATGTGCGAGAAATCTCGATTTCATCCGTAGGTTCAAGGAACACGGTTTCAATACATTGGTACCAGGGTTTCGAAAAAGTTACGTTATTCAACGGTCTAACCATATTCACAAAGTGCGTATTAAAATGCTTGGATAATATGACCCCTGAAACTTCGTTGTTTCCTATTGTTAATTCAGTTGTGTTACATTTAGTGTTTTCTCGTTTAAGAACCTCGTTTGTTATCTTCCATACTCTTTCAAGGCGCTTTTTGCACACCTCAAAAAAAGGTTGTTATAGAAAGATGCTTTTGCCTTCCTTAACTCGGCGGTTAGCTTGTTTCTGTTTCTTAAAAGCTGCGAGTTTACACGGTTCCCTCGTACACAAGAACTCTTTGAAAAGTTTGGTGTTTTCATTAATAATCTTTAAATGTTCAGGTCCTATTCATGGCTTTCTAATTTTCTTTTTTTGCTTTTCGGTTATACGGGGGAAAGAGGCATTATAATGGAGAAGTAATATTGATAAGAATTCGTCATAAGCGTCACTACCGTTGGTTTTGCTATAGACGGATGACCAGTCAGCATTTACGATATACCTACGGAAGGTACCCAGGTTCCTGCTTGATAGGCACCGATATGTTAATTTAGATTGACGTGTTTCTTCCCATGATGTAGAAGTAAAATACACTATAAAAATGGGACAGTGATCACTGATATTATAGCATATTGTACCTGCCACGTGAATAGGAGTGTCTATATTTACAATGAAAGGGTGAAGAATGGATTGACCCCTGAGTGATACACGAGTTGGGGTCGTGATGACATTCTGGTAACCGCACAAATTTATTCTGTTGTTAAAATCACGGGCATGCGTGTTATCATCACGCATATTTATATTGAAATCGCCCCCGATTAGCAAGCGATACCGATTAATTAAAGCGAAATCTAATATTTCTTCAATGAAATCAAGAAAAACGTTCCGGTTACCAGAGGGGGGACGATACACAACCGCAAACATTTCACTGTTACTTAGCAAAAAAAGTGCTTCGTAATCTGTTGTGATAAGCATGAATCTTTCCAGCACTCCGAATGACAATTGCTGTTTAAGATGCATCGCTACCTCACTACCTCGTATTCCGCTTCGGTTTATGAAATAATGATTGTATTCATCCAAAACTAACATATCGCTATCTGTGTGATACCATGTTTCCGAAAATATAACTATGTCAAATCGGAAGTTAAACTTGTCAAGAAAAGTAGAAACTTGATCCTGCTTAGGCGCGAGAGATAGCGCGTTGATATGAGAAAAAGGAAAAAGTGATTTGACTGTTTTCGTACCGCAATATCAGATGGTAATCCGTACTCTTAATATAGCATTTTAGGGAAAGAAAATAGTAATCTAGCAGAGTTTACGCTTATACAATTTTGCACAAGTCACTTTCAGATACGATGTGTACTACCGGACATTGCTCTGTTTTGCGTGCAAAGATTTTACCGTTCCGCGTCCACAGAAATCGCCGCTGGCACTCATGCTTCTTGGCAATTGCAAGAGAAAAAAGCCGTTTCAGCGCGGGACATAAGTGCTCATTCAGATAAACTTCTGTTTCGCCCGCAATTTCGACATCACGGTTCCTGATGCGACTCTTACGAGCCTTCGCAAAAATGGTGTCCCTTTCCTGCCTGCTTCTGAACTGCACGATGACGTTGCTCTGCCCTCCTCTCGCGTTAATACGCGATGACAAGCCTCAACATCGTCGGTGGCAATGGGTTCACGAATCACGTCACCTAGCTTACTCACGAGTTCAGTGAAGTTTTCATTTTCATTCTGCACAAGGCCTCTTATTTCTACGTTAGACCTGCGCGAGTACTGCTCACATTGAACAACCCTCATTTGAAGTTGTTCAATAGGACTCTCGTTCTTTTTGCACCCTCGTACTAGCCCTCGTTTTCCATCTTCAGAGCCTCCCTTTCGCCAAGTGCCTCCTCAAGCTTTTTCTTTATATCTTTAAATTTTGCGTTTATAATATTCATGCTCTCTTGTAGCCTCCTCATTTCAGTGCGGAGCTCGCGATGCTCACTACGATCATCTCTCTCTGACGTAGAGGCCGCGGGTTTAGTCATAGCACTTCGCAATCAAAAACAGCAATTAAACTGAGCAGCAGCAACAGCATGCAGTAACAACATACAATTACGGTGGAAAAAATCACCACACCAGCCTGCAAAGTGAAGAACACTTGTTTAGGCGAAGCGTCAGCTGGCTGTCACTGCTGTTGAATCTAAATATTCAAGCCATTCTTTTTCTATGACTCAAATTTTTTTTTGTTATATATCAATACTTTTCTGCCGCTTTCCCGTGGACAAAATAGATGAGGGAGTGTTAAGCTGGCTGTGACTATCCTGTGATCGCTATGTTCTTCGAAAGATGGACACATTATGAACATATATCACTGTTGCACAATGTTAAATCAAGCATGTTTCCGCCTCTTGTTGATTGACAAGCAAATTGTTGAAAGCCGTAGGTATTTAAAATATCTTCAAAATCAAAGTAGACAACACTAGATGGTACTATATCGTGGTCACCTGCCCATTTCAATTCTGGCAGGTTAAGATCTCCGGCTATTAAAATCCGTTCGTCAGGTAGGCTAGATAAAACATTGTTTAGAGCAGAAATTGTTTCGGCAGTGGAACCGGGAGGGCGGTAAAACACACCAACGGCCATTTCACTTTTGTTAGAAAGCGTATGCGACACAACACTAATTCGACGTGCTCAGTTTTCACATCAATCAACATGCTGTTCAATGACCTGTTAACGAGTAAGAACACACCTCCATCATGGCAGTTCCTGTCCTTTCTGTACTCATCATAAGTAGAGGGAGGAAATTTCAAAATTCAGAATTGTCTCATCTAATTATGATTCAGTTCCAAAAATAAAATCAAGATTAAATATATGTATGAGGCCAATGAACTCTCCGATTTCATTTTTTATACTGCGACAATTTATCAACAATATGGAGCAGTCTTTTGCTGCCAAAATTTGTTTAGGTGTTGGACTTCCATGTTCCACACTTTTCCCACCGCCATAAATATGTCTGGCGTTATCATAGGTTGTCGTTTGACAACTAGGTTCGCAGGATGAGTCGGTGTTTGGCGACCCATAATTACTACGCAGTCAGGCAGCTGGATTGTGCAAAGTCAGAATTTCGCTTGTCTTTGCGCAGCATTTCTTATCGTCATCCCATACGTGTCATTATCAACTCGCAACATATTGTGGACATGTTTTACTCTGGAGTCCTGTGCCTTTTACTCCTTTGCAATTTACCACATCATTTTTCGTTTGTGTACTATTATCTGTGAATAATAATTAGAAACAGATATCAACATGTCGTTCTTTTACACGCAGTTGCTAACTTTCATTATGACTGTCTTAATCTTTTCCGCCTCTTTCCAACCAAGCCTGCGTATACTTACGACGGAGAACCAACAAAGCTAGTCGAAGAGGAAGAGGATTATCATTAAACAGTTGGTAGTGCAGCGGTTGAATGCGCATTTAATTTCTCCTTTCATTTGAATGGGTGGTTGATATTTGTATGTTCAGCTGGTTTCGTCCGAACCTGTGTATACGTTCTACTGATTTTACTCTAACGAATACGGTCTCGAAGAAGTTCCTGAACAACCTCTTATTATTTCATCAGTCTCGCTTTCTTCTTCAGGGATGCCAAAAATAAGAAGGTTGTCTCTACGACTGCTCTCTTCAAGGGTGACGAGCGTTTCCTGCTATGAACAGCTGATTTGGTTAATATTTTTGAGGGCATCTGTTATGTACCGGCGCCACCGGCAGGTGGACTAAGCAGCTGATTCCGCGAGCCTCGTGACAATCGCGTGCTAGTGAGAGCTCGGGCACTTGTTCCTGGACCGAGAACCGCGATAGACGCACCGTCCACACTCTAAAGCTGACAGTAAAGCTTGTATTTATCAATTGGCGACGAGTGAGAGAAACGAACCTGCGGCTTTGAGAAGATGGCGACTCACGGCACCATGGAAGCGTTCTCGGGAAAGGGGTGGTCATCTTGGGCGGAGCGGCTCATCTACTACTTCGAGGCCAACGGCATCAGGGTTGGCACCAAG